ATTGAGTTTGACACCCCTGATTTACAACCATGAACCAAGTCACAAAGAGCCTCAGTAGAAGATGTAATGAGGAAGCAATTGGAAGGAATGACGGAACAATGGAAGAAGAAACTGATGCTACATTCTCCTGCATTGCTACTCCCTAATCAATCATAGCAGCACTGTTGCTGCCAGCCTACTCTTCCTTTCATTAGTCAGAGAAGGCATATTTTCCCAGTGACTACAGATGATCAAGGTCCTTTATGGTCCTTGGGCCCACTACTGTAAAAGGGAAGAAGTACCCATCCTTCTTCCTTTTCTCTGCCCAACCTCAGTGTGGCAGAATGGGATGGGAGCCAGGCACCTAAGCGCTTTCACCACTGAAAGACCCATCTGAAAATTCATAGTGTCCCAACAACTCTGTCCATATGTTGTTTTTTGTGTTACAGTACAATGTGTATTGGGAGGAACAAATACAACAACTGTGTCCCATCTGTTCCCCTGTGGCAGCTTTTAAAGAAGAGGCCTTATTTCCAGGTCAACATTGGTTGATAACTCTAGGACTTCAACAGCACTGCCAGCTAAGGAAAACAGAAAACCAGCTCAGCCAGGCCTGCTCTAATCCCATCAACAGATGCCTGCTGCACAGAATTTAGCAGGTGGATCTGTTTACCTCAGTGCTGTGAAAAGTTTCACCTGCTGGTATGGAGAAATCAAGTGAAAGTATTCACACAGCCCAGGCAAACAAGGCCAAGTCTCACCATCTGCACACTAAACTGCATAAAGGCAGAGATACTGCCGCCAGTGAATCAATTGGCAACTCAGCTCTCCAATAAAAAAGACCCACAGAATCATCTTGGATTTGTTTTTACATGTGTACACATTAAATCCTTTAGTATATGGCACATCATACAAGTCAAAAAACAATTTAAAGCAGTGTTTCTCAACCTTGACAATTTTAAGGCATGTGGACTTCAACTCCCAGAATTCCACAGCCAGCAATGCTGGCTGTGGAATTCTGGGAGTTGAAGTCCACATGCCTTAAAATTGTCAAGGTTGAGAAACACTGTTTTAAAGTAAAATAATCTTTTAATTATTACCATGGTGGTTAAATCACATGATTTACTACCCATTTTAGTAGGTTATTTAGGTTGCAATGCTGAACATATTTACCTAGAAGGAAACCCTTGAGTAGGCACATAAGACTGTCACCCATAGAGCTGTTTACCTATTTTCTCCAAAGATCGTAACAGCCATTTCGTGCGATTATTTCTAAGGCCATACAAATAAATCGGTCAGGCAGCTGATGAGATGACTTTCCCTGCCAAAGTCATTCAGGAAGAGAAGCATGGGGGAGAAACCATAAATTGCTTTCCTAATGTTGTTCTGTTAACACTTTTGCAAATAAAACTGGAGTGGCATGGAAAAACCTCCCTAGATTTGAACTGCATTTATTTTGAGTTTCGCCAAGTGTGGAATATAATAGATACAGTGATTATAAAGTAGTAATACATTTGTTAATATGCAGATGATTATTTTTTATTCTTTATATGCATTTCCCTAAAGTAAGAGACATGTAAGTCACTGTGATCTTTGTTTTAAGAAGCAAGTGAATGCTTCTTTATCTCATAATGCTATGCTAACTTAATGCCAAAGGCTTATTTCAATCATTACTTAAATGTAGCCTTATGGCTATGCAATCCAAAGCTTTTTAAAATGTCTCCATCCTTATCCCTTATTCACTGCTCTGCATAATATTCAGCTTGCTGAGTTTTGAAAATTTAAATTTCCTGCTACTCTGCATCAAATACTTCAAAATCATATGTTAAAGACATTATCTTCTTAAGCACAACATGGACAACTTTGTTTTTTTAGACTGTTTTTTGTTTTCAGCTTATTTCTGATTCATAGCCTTTACTTATAGTTGAAGTAAAATAGTACAACCATCACTGACAAATCAAATCAAATCCCTTACTAGGCCAGTGACCCAGACTAAATAAAAGTAAATAAAACCAACAGAGTAGAGATATAAAATAGAGCATACAAGATAAAGAAAATACAAAAAGATGCTTGCACTATTTTGCTATCAGCAAAATGCGAGTTTTACAAGCTGCAAAAACAAATTCTACAACTGCAAGAGTTAATAATAAATTTCACATAACATTATTCAGTCCATCCTGGAAATGGACTTAGAAGAGGAGTTAAAGCTTTTTGTATATGTCTCAACAGAAATTGCAATATAACAGTATATTAATTCATGTTTCAATATTACTATCTTCACCAGGGCAGAACTTTTCCATAAATGGAATTTTACTTCAAATCTTTTATTGCCCTCTGTTTAAATGCTTTATTGATCTACAGTAGCATACCAGTCAAAGAGAATATTATTTCAGAATAATATTCAGAATAGTATTCCACAGAATAATATTCAGAATAGTATTCCACAGAAATAGAACAAGCATGTGTCAACTCCAAAATGTCCATTGCAGCTGAAATTTTGATCTGACTTCCAGTTTGTCTAATATCCTTCTAAAAGAGCAAGAGAACTTTGGCCCACAATTCTTATGACCATTGACTAGTGGCTTCACAGACGGGAGTTGAGATCCAGCAACATTTGGAAGTCAATAGGTCCCATATCTGCTATTTAGGGGCTCTAGGTATTGATGAACAGCATCAAAGTTGCAAGAAACGAGAATCTTTCTTAAGACATGAGAAAATTAACACGCATATTAACTTTAGCATAAATTTGAAAATCCAAAGCTCATATTTGAAAATAAGACCCTGGGCAGAATTTCTCACTGTATCCTAGTAACCTCTGTAGAACTTTCTGACGGCTGGCATGTTGTCAAAGTCCTTAAAGAAGCCGTGATGCCATATTGATTACTGGGTTGAGTGAAGTATAATAGTAACAAAGCAGTACAAGTCAATATTATACTAATGGTCATACAGGGAAGGCATGCAATATGAAAAGGAGATTAAGCTGATTACTAAAGGTCTGTTTCTCCCCTTAATTAGAATAGGAAGTTGTCATATTTTGCCCTTGTTCATTCATTGCATCGCACAGGGATAGGCAATCTACTACCTCTGCAATATTATTGAACCAGTTCCAACATCTTCAATTAGCACAGCCAATAATTTGGCATGTGAGAATTGTGGTTTCAAGATCACCAATTGTCTACCTTCCACTGAGATGTGAAAACATGTAAGTTCTAAATGAGATAAACCTGAGAAACAGGACAAGAATTTGCTGACTGGGATTAAGTTATTCATGTTGTTACGTTCCAGTGAAATCAGTGGGATTTGAATGCAATGAATTCAGCTACTAGGTATTTTAGTAACACTAACCCAGAAAATAGCTAGACTACTGCGTTTTGTTGTGGCCTTTCCTTTTATTCCTCATTTTAAGGGGACATTGACCACAAACACTGAAGCAACTACAGTAATGTTTTAAACCCATCCCCTCCTTTTCAATGTGGACAGGGAGTATCAAACCAAGGCACTTTAGCCAGGGAAAGGAGTGTCAAACCCCTGAAAATTGCTATCTGATGAAACTCTTTGAGTATTTGTATGTCAATGAAAGAAGACTCAGTGGAGGGGGGGGGGGAAAGGATTTTTATTAAAGGCTTTCAAGCAACAGCCTTTCCAACCCAGAATTTAAACAAAGACACTTATTGTTTACACCACTGGCTTTTAATGGTTCTTTTAAAATTCTTCCCATTCTCTTTCCTTAATGGCCACTCCAGAGTTTCTCCAGATCCTTCCTAGGCAGTTACCAATGATACATGGTGCAGGCTGGTAGCAAAATGGTAAGTGAACTGTTAATCCTCTTGAGTGGATTAACAGCTACCAGCAAAACTGCTCTGTCAAACAGCCTCCCTATGTACTTCCTATGGGGGGAGGAGTGTAATTTATCCCACTACAGTGAAAGCAGTGAAAGAGAGAACCTGTGTTTGAACACAGGCAATTTATGTACATAAAAAGCCCTCAGAGGGTCCAACTGGACAAGTGAAATATTTAGAAATGAATTACTTTACAAGTCAACTGAGCTCCTTTGGAAGTGAATTATTCGGCTGAAAAGGAAGGCTGATTCTGGAGGAGGAAAAGTGGATATCTTGGTTATTTTGCACTTGTTTAAAAAACTTGTTCTACAGATGGGGGGGAGGAGGGAGATCTTTCCTTTGCACTTAGCAAAGCAGGCACCCAGAAGTGGAATGCAGAGAAAGATGATTATTATAAAACCAGAAGCACAGAAGGAACTGGGAAACTGTCTTCACATAGCGGCAGAACCAATTTCATGTTTTATTGTAATGTTCTAGCTAGCATAATTGCTGCNAGCCTGCCTCTTCCTTTAAGAATACCCCAAATATCCAACATTCTACTGCTCTTGTTTTTCTTAAATTCACTTTGGTTGCAATGCACAATAGCAGCTTTTCACTGTCAGCCTCATGATCCCTTCCAAACCCCACAACTGCTTCTTTTCTAAAAGCACCCCACCTAGTTCTATTTACCACCCTGAACTTCTGCTTTTTTTTTTAGCTCAGCAGAGAATTTTAGTTTGAAATAAATTAAATATACAAAGCGCAAAAGGAATGGCAATTTAACAGCGTCACTTATTTCCTCAGCTGAAGAGTAGAGCTTTTTCCTTCCAGATGTTTTGGACTGCTGCTTGCTAAAGCACAATAGGAAATGTCTGTGGACCAGATCAATCAGAAGTTGCAGAAGGCAAGAGAAACATTGCGAGTATGGTATGATTCAGATATGTAAGTAGAGCCAGAATTTTCTGTCTCTTGACAGGATCTGCATTATGATTATGGAGGTGAAAAGTGAACCATGTCACTCAGAATTAAAGAAAAATCCAAGACTAACAATGCAACTTATTGGGAAGGAAAAAATAGCTCCTCACATCTGTGTCTCATCAGCTTATAGTCTTGATGACAAACTATTAAAATGAATTATGTTCATATAGAAAGATCAACTTCATGTTAAACATAACTCCAAAGCAAAAAAAAAAGTATGAATTTTTACCAGATATCCATTTGTTCACTGTTTTGATGCAGTTGATTAGCTGAAAAAAGGGAGGGGAAAGAAGGAGAAAATGAACTCGAATCTGTACATTACAAATTACAGAAACAAAGATGCTTAGTAATCATTAACAGAAACAACAGGCAATTCAATCACTTTGATTTTATAAATGGTATTTTGAATGCATGTACCTGCAAACTATTTTTACAATGAATTGTTGGATAAATCTCAATTGGCTGGATTCATGCAATATGTTAAGTCACAGACCATGGTTACAAATCACAAAGGATCGGTTTACACAAGATGCCCAGCCAAACTCACATAAATGGCATTGGGACCTAGTGTACTGGATGAACTATCTATAAAAAAGGGCCTAGAATAAGTATGTGAACATTAGGTGAACCTCTTTCATTCTATGCCTGAAATAATAACCTACCATTAGAATTTCTATCAAGTCTCTTGTATAAATATTTATGAGGCAAAGAAGAACACAAGAGAATTCTCTTCATTCCTTTACCACCAGTGTCCACAGGAGACATCTGTATTTTTCTCTGTAGAATAAAAATATCTCTATATGCGTGTTGTTGCTCTTGCCCTAAATTGCACTTCTCCATGGTTTATGCTTATATATGCAATGGATAGGCCAGGGAAGGATACATGCAGTTCTGGATTACACCATTGGGGGGGAGATGGAGAGTACTACAATGGAGCAATCGTAACATTTTTCTAGGCTGCTGCCCAAAGGGATTCAATGGGATCTTTTTTTTTCCTCTCTGCATTCCCCACTTGATCTAATCTATTTGTCAACTCTCTTTCTTTTGCTGCCTTCTTTCCACAGACAAAGTTTGGCCCCATTCTGTTGAGTTTTCAGAGTCATTCTGTTGATGGAGAGTCCCAAGCCTCTCTACCTAATGTCCTCCCAACAGTTTGTTGGGTTAAAAATAAGAGAATAGTGGTACCTGATTTTATGATTAACACAATCATACCTTGGTGATCTTGGCCTATATTTAAAAATAGATCACCTTAATTTCATCAGGACTCTGCAATCAAAACTAGGAACATCCTTTCAATACTAAAAAGATTTGTTTATAAACAAAAACTGAATAATTAAAACCCTTATTTTAAGTCAAGGAGCAAGGCAAGGAAAGTGGCATTCCTAGAAACATTTAGGACTTATCACAGATGTAATTTGATTTTAAAAAATCCTGCAAACACACAAAAAATGTCTTTGCCAATGATAATAGTGAAACAGAAAAGTCTCTAGTGGTACCAATTATTCCACTTTCCAGGTATCTGGAAACATATCTGTTTCCAAGACACATACTGAGTATTCCAGAGCTTGGAGAGGCACAAAGGTAAAAGCTTTGGCATGGTTCGGAATAAGCCATGAAGATTTCACCATATCCTGACATCTAATTCTTGGAATCTTTCTGTGCATTCCACATGATTAATTATGAGCAGAAATCAAGTAAATTCAAACAATAAACAAAGAACCCTCAATCCAAATTTGTTGTGATAAAACCTTATACCAACATATTCTGATTTGATGTTTATAAATAGCAATTTGTGGTTGACTTTTGTTGTTCAGGCTTGAAATATTGAGCAACTCAGTCTCCCCAAGGAACATTTTATTTTTCTATAATAAGCAGCATGTATCCAACCTGCAATCATGGGCTGTTGTGCAGAAAATAATAATGGGGATAGCTGGACAAAATGTTTAGCTAAGTTATATCCTGATTGTCTATTACATAAAATCAGTAGGTCATAGAAACCCAAACGAGGCATGGGGAATAAATGATTCTAGGTTCAATACCTAGTATCTTGAAGGTCTGTTTAAAACAAACAAATCACCCAGGTGATGAAGAGCAAACTCACGTATTTTAATAAAATACCGTAACTGATCTGAAACAAAATAATTATTTTTACAGCAATATACTTGACTCCAAAAACAATCTGCATAATATTTTGGTTAATATAAAACAGAAACAGAGGGGTGAAATTTCAAGAAAGTTGTGATGTCTCACTGAAACATAATTTGTCATGAATATACTTGTCTCATTTTGAAGACTGAAAAAGATTTGCAGATACTATTATATTTTACTGAAATAAGATTTCTGACACATTTTTCTCAAGGATCTCTTCCTACAGTTTTATGGTGACAAGTAAGCTCACATGCTTCAATTAGAATAAAAATATACTGTTCAGTTTAGAAAAGCAGAGTAGTTTAATTTTTTTTTTTTTAAAAAAGCATATGCTTAATGCCACACCCACCTTCTGCTCCCAGAGACAAATCATCTTCAAAACTTCCTCCATTCCTCACCAGCATGCCTAAAACAGATACCAGTTTGACAAAATCAAAATCTATTTTGGTTATTTTCTAGCAGTACTGTCAATTGCAAATTAAAATACTAAACATATTTTAGAATATCTATTTATTTGCATCTCATCTGTCCTTTGTAGCATTTCCTTCTTTCCTCATCACAACAGCCCTGTGAAATAGTTGATTGACCCAAACTATGTTAAAATTCCATGGCTTAAAATGGGCTTAATGCTGGTTCTTGTTCTAATCCCTAAACCACTTACACTAGCAAATTGTACCAAGTTGTAATGGCGTTTACAGACTTATCACAGTCTATTAAGCCTCAAGCTGTTAGCACTGGCAGTTTTGAACAAAAAAAATGACAAATCTTATAAGACATCAAGGCAACCTCCAAAGATATTGTCAAGCTACAAAGAAAAGAAAAAAAAGAGATCAATTTCCTATCTGCGAATGCCACGTAACTTAGTACTTCTGAGTCACATGAAACATGGCACAAAGCTTTAACCTTTTGAAACTGCTTACCAAAAGTTTCAAGCCTAAGCGTTATCTGGGAACCAACATTCCCTTTCATCCCTGGAAAAATGAAATGAAGGAACTCCAGCTATTGCAGAGGCTTCTTCTCGACTCTGTCACTACCTGCACATTCTTGTCGTACTTTGAACTTTTGCATTCTGGTTTGTGCAGGTGGTAACTTTTCAGGTGTGGTGAGTTCAGTCAGAGCCAGTCGAGAAAGAGTGTACTGAAAGGCTGACCTACTTCACAGTATGCTTCTTTCTTGCTCTCTCCTTCCAGCAGGCTTACCTACACGAGAGTCTCACTTAGCTTTAGCACTAGGGAGACATGAATACTGTGAGTACTTAACCCTGAACACCCCATTCCTATTTCAGAAGCCCTGCTGGGAGATCAGGGACCCGTGGTTCTTTTCACAACATCCAAATGGCTTCAATTCAAACTGCATTTTGGTGAGTTATTATTTTTGTACTTTCCGTCTAACAAGAAAACAGAGAAAGTCAGAAAGTGCCAGACATTTACCTTTTAACGTTGGGTTGCTCTGCTCATCCAAGGAAGCTCCCAATGGTGTTCTAAAACCACAAAATAGATTAAAATGTGCATGACTCCTTTAAAACTTGCTTCTTCACATCCTTCCTTAAAAAGCTGACTTTTTCACATCCGCCAACTCCTCTTCCTGAAATTGTGCATGCACGCGTACATACAACTTACAAAGTCCACTCTGAGAAAACTGAGTCTCTGTACAGATACTAGTTGCAAAAGCCAACTAAGTCCTGCCTATAAGAAGTACAAGAAGTGAACTCTGTTAGATCTCATTTCCAAATAAGCATAAGCAAGATTGCACAAGTTGACTTAAGTGTGGGCTAGCACAACAACGTAAAGGTGAAGAATTAGTCATGTTTTTAAATGCCTTAATGATTCAGAGAGAAAATACAGCAATTGAAAAAATTTTCATATTTTAAAACACTTTTCTGTCATATTCCTATATCCAATTCAGAAAGAGTGGGCAAAATGAGCATACTTTAGACGTAAAATGGACCCACTCACCCACATAGCCCTATGTTGCCACAATTTGAAAAAGATTTGTCATTTTATTATATTCTGCCATTCAATTTAGACTACAATTATAAATCACCGCCGTAGTAAACAACAAGCATCTAGTGGAGCTTATTTCTAGAGACATACCAAGTGGATCATAATGTTGTACTATGAACCCTTTGTAGGCTTGCCAACAGCCAAATCAATGAGCATGGAGTTTCTGAAAGTCACTAAAGCAGTAATACAGATGTGAACCCTGAAGATATTATAGTCTGCTTATCTGTTTACCCTCTGCCCCAATTATGGCAAACGGACTTTATCTTGCCAAACAATGAAAGCAGGGGAGGAATCTTTGGAGCCCACTGGCCAGAGAACCACGGGTTCTCCCTTCTCCCATGCCTTCAATATTTACAACAGACATATCAAACACAAGGCCCGGGGGCCAGATGCAGCCCGCGAAGTGGTTTCATGTGGCCTGGAAGCCATCCTGGATACAGTGAGGGAACGGCCCCCACTGCCTTGGCCCTGGCCCAGGCTGGCCAGGAGCAATGTACAATTTTGTGGTGGCCATCTATGCTGAAACGCATTCAGTCTTAGCTCCACAAGGCCGTCTAGAAACAGCGAGGAACCAGCCCCTGCCCTGTCGGCCCCGCCCCCTGGGTGCATGCTGGAGAGGTGTCACCCTTTGTGAGGAATGAGGAAATGGACCATGCCTTGGCGCTTGCCCCGGTCCCACCCCCTTCTGCCAGAGACCCTCAGATCTGTCCCACTCCTGCCCAGGCCCCCACAGGCACCCTTGACGCGAACGATGTAGAGCTGGCCATGCCCACCCAGTAGGCCACACCCACTCCATCCACACCCACCCAGTAGGCCGCACCTACCCTGGCCACACACCCCGTGGGCAACCACAATGCTGATGCGGCCCTCAATGAAATTGAGTTTGACACTCCTGATTTACAACCATGAACCAAGTCACAAAGAGCCTCAGTAGAAGATGTAATGAGGAAGCAATTGGAAGAAATGACGGAACAATGGAAGAAGAAACTGATGCTACATTCTCCTGCATTGCTACTCCCTAATCAATCATAGCAGCACTGTTGCTGCCAGCCTACTCTTCCTTTCATTAGTCAGAGAAGGCATATTTTTCCAGTGACTACAGATGATCAAGGTCCTTTATGGTCCTTGGGCCCACTACTGTAAAAGGGAAGAAGTACCCATCCTTCTTCCTTCTCTCTGCCCAACCTCAGTGTGGCAGAATAGGATGGGAGCCAGGCACCTAAGCGCTTTCACCACTGAAAGACCCATCTGAAAATTCATAGTGTCCCAACAACTCTATCCATATGTTGTTTTTTGTGTTACAGTACAATGTGTATTGGGAGGAACAAATACAACAGCTGTGTCCCATCTGTTCCCCTGTGGCAGCTTTTAAAGAAGAGGCCTTATTTCCAGGTCAACATTGGTTGATAACTCTAGGACTTCAACAGCACTGCCAGCTAAGGAAAACAGAAAACCAGCTTAGCCAGGCCTGCTCTAATCCCATCAATAGATGCCTGCTGCACAGAATTCAGCAGGTGGATCTGTTTACCTCTGTGCTGTGAAAAGTTTCACCTGCTGGTATGGAGAAATCAAGTGAAAGTATTCACACAGCCCAGGCAAACAAGGCCAAATCTCACCATCTGCACACTAAACTGCATAAAGGCAGAGATACTGCCGCCAGTGAATCAATTGGCAACTCAGCTCTCCAATAAAAAAGACCCACAGAATCATCTTGGATTTGTTTTTACATGTATACACATTAAATCCTTTAGTATATGGCACATCATACAAGTCAAAAAACAATTTAAAGCAGTGTTTCTCAACCTTGACAATTTTAAGGCATGTGGACTTCAACTCCCAGAATTCCACAGCCAGCAATGCTGGCTGTGGAATTCTGGGAGTTGAAGTCCACATGCCTTAAAATTGTCAAGGTTGAGAAACACAGTTTTAAAGTAAAATAATCTTTTAATTATTACCATGGTGGTTAAATCACATGATTTACTACCCATTTTAGTAGGTTATTTAGGTTGCAATGCTGAACATATTTACCTAGAAGGAAACCCTTGAGTAGGCACATAAGACTGTCACCCATAGAGCTGTTTACCTATTTTCTCCAAAGATCGTAACAGCCATTTTGTGCGATTATTTCTAAGGCCATACAAATAAATCGGTCAGGCAGCTGATGAGATGACTTTCCCTGCCAAAGTCATTCAGGAAGAGAAGCATGGGGGAGAAACCATAAATTGCTTTCCTAATGTTGTTCTGTTAACACTTTTACAAATAAAACTGGAGTGGCATGGAAACACCTCCCGAGATTTGAACTGCATTTATTTTGAGTTTCGCCAAGTGTGGAATATAATAGATACAGTGATTATAAAGTAGTAATACATTTGTTAATATGCAGATGATTATTTTTTATTCTTTATATGCATTTCCCTAAAGTAAGAGACATGTAAGTCACTGTGATCTTTGTTTTAAGAAGCAAGTGAATGCTTCTTTATCTCATAATGCTATGCTAACTTAATGCCAAAGGCTTATTTCAATCATTACTTAAATGTAGCCTTATGGCTATGCAATCCAAAGCTTTTTAAAATGTCTCCATCCTTATCCCTTATTCACTGCTCTGCATAATATTCAGCTTGCTGAGTTCTGAAAATTTAAATTTCCTGCTACTCTGCATCAAATACTTCAAAATCATATGTTAAAGACATTATCTTCTTAAGCACAACATGGACAACTTTGTTTTTTTAGACTGTTTTTTGTTTTCAGCTTATTTCTGATTCATAGCCTTTACTTATAGTTGAAGTAAAATAGTACAACCATCACTGACAAATCAAATCAAATCCCTTACTAGGCCAGTGACCCAGACTAAATAAAAGTAAATAAAACCAACAGAGTAGAGATACAAAATAGAGCATACAAGATAAAAAAAATACAAAAAGATGCTTGCACTATTTTGCTATCAGCAAAATGCGAGTTTTACAAGCTGCAAAAACAAATTCTACAACTGCAAGAGTTAATAATAAATTTCACATAACATTATTCAGTCCATCCTGGAAATGGACTTAGAAGAGGAGTTAAGAGCTCTTTGTATATGTCTCAACAGAAAATTGCAATATAACAGTATATTAATTCATGTTTCAATATTACTATCTTCACCAGGGCAGAACTTTTCCATAAATGGAATTTTACCTCAAATCTTTTATTGCCCTCTGTTTAAATGCTTTATTGATCTACAGTAGCATACCAGTCAAAGAGAATATTATTTCAGAATATAGTATTCCACAGAAATAGAACAAGCATATGTCAACTCCAAAATGTCCATTGCAGCTGAAATTTTGATCTGACTTCCAGTTTGTCTAATATCCTTCTAAAAGAGCAAGAGAACTTTGGCCCACAATTCTTATGACCATTGACTAGTGGCTTCACAGACGGGAGTTGAGATCCAGCAACATTTGGAAGTCAGTAGGTCCCATATCTGCTATTTAGGGGCTCTAAGTCTTGATGAACAGCATCAAAGTTGCAAGAAACGAGAATCTTTCTTAAGACATGAGAAAATTAACACGCATATTAACTTTAGCATAAATTTGAAAATCCAAAGCTCATATTTGAAAATAAGACCCTGGGCAGAATTTCTCACTGTATCCTAGTAACCTCTGTAGAACTTTCTGACGGCTGGCATGTTGTCAAAGTCCTTAAAGATGCCGTGATGCCATATTGATTATTGGGTTGAGTGAAGTATAATAGTAACAAAACAGTACAAGTCAATATTATACTAATGGTCATACAGGGAAGGCATGCAATATGAAAAGGAGATTAAGCTGATTACTAAAGGTCTGTTTCTCCCCTTAATTAGAATAGGAAGTTGTCATATTTTGCCCTTGTTCATTCATTGCATCGCACAGGGATAGGCAATCTACTACCTCTGCAATATTATTGAACCAGTTCCAACATCTTCAATTAGCACAGCCAATAATTTGGCATGTGAGAATTGTGGTTTCAAGACCACCAATTGTCTACCTTCCACTGAGATGTGAAAACATGTAAGTTCTAAATGAGATAAACCTGAGAAACAGGACAAGAATTTGCTGACTGGGATTAAGTTATTCATGTTGTTACGTTCCAGTGAAATCAGTGGGATTTGAATGCAATGAATTCAGCTACTAGGTATTTTAGTAACACTAACCCAGAAAATAGCTAGACTACTGCGTTTTGTTGTGGTCTTTCCTTTCATTCCTCATTTTAAGGGGACATTGACCACACAAACACTGAAGCAACTACAGTAATGTTTTAAACCCATCCCCTCCTTTTGAATGTGGACAGGGAGTATCAAACCAAGGCACTTTAGCCAGGGAAAGGAGTGTCAAACCCCTGAAAATTGCTATCTGATGAAACTCTTTGAGTATTTGTATGTCAATGAAAGAAGACTCAGTGGAGGGGGGGGGAAAGGATTTTTATTAAAGGTTTTCAAGCAACAGCCTTTCCAACCCAGAATTTA